GTCGTCGGCAGTGAGTTAAGGAGAAGCAGTCGGGACTCGGGAGTGGGGGAGAGGTTTAAGTTTAGTGGGTACGGGTCGGGTTCGGATCGGGTTCGGGGGCAATTCACAAACAAAACTCGATGCGGGTCATAGAGGGATTAGCGCTTTTAAGCGCTTTTGAGCGCTAAAACGCACTATTACGTGCTATTCGAACACAAAGCGGTTTACCGCTTAATCACGCCGTATAAGCCTTAAGCGTAGTGCTGATGCCTCGCTTCCGCTATTCGCAGCATGATAGCGGCGTTTTTTGCCGCTTTTTACAACATTAAAAATACCCCTATAAAGTTTGAACTATCCTATCACTAATCAATTCTAATTTTTAAATTATATTTAATGATTTATTCTAATCCTAATCAAATAACTTCAAAGTTTGAACTATCCTAATCCTAATAAAATTCTAACTTAATCAAATTCTAATTATTTTTAAATTAAGTTTAAACTAATATATCTATCCTTAATACAACTAATATATCTATCCTTAATACGTGATATTATATAATAAGGATATTATAATTTTTTACGTTTGAAATATTATACACTATCTAAAAGTTTAAACTAATTTATCTACTTTGCACGTGTAAAATCATATTATGATTAATTTATTAACAACAATATAACAAGTTTATATTACAGAAAGATATCATATTGCACGTGTTATGATTGTATATATCTTTTAATACGTGCATTCACAAAAATAACCGAATTTTTATTATAACCAAATTCTTATTATAGGAATAAGACTCTTCGGGTATAAATAAAGCACCAAATCCACTTTCTTTTCTCACCAAATATTAATTTCTCAGAATTTGAAGCAATTATCAAATTTTCTCTCTCAAAGGTTCGGTCTTAGTGTCTCTCTTTTTTTATTTAATAATGATGACTTTTAATCTTTGTTATTTTTTTCTTATTAGAATTAGATTAGATTGTTTAAAAAATATTAACTAGATTAGATATTGTTCTTCTTATTTTAGTCAATTAATCATAGTATCTAATTACAATAATTTTTATAGTGCTTCCATCTATTTTCATTTTATTAGATTAGATTAAATTATTTTAAAGTAATTACTTATAATTGTTTGCAAAAGTCGGCCTGATAGAGAGGGAAATAAAATTGTAATTTTTAAAAAACTTTTCATGCATCTTGTGATTTGTATTTATGATAGTGTAAATTTTATTTAATAGTTCTCGGAAGAAAATCTGTTGGTCTTCTATTTTTCTTATTCATTATCTTAATTTTCCATTATTTGAATCCTTTATCCACTGAACTAATCAACTTCAGTTTCGTATCACCAGTATTTATCCCCATGGAAAAGTAATATGCTGTCAGCACTATTTCATTGGATAATAATTTCGATTACTTCCAATGCAAAGTTTTCTAAATTTAATAAACATGGAATTTCTATGTAAGATTAATATAGACCAATATGTCTCTTGTCTTTCATTCTGTGAAAATACAGAAGAAAATCACAAACACATAAATATGAAAATTTAAGTTTTGGAGTCTACAGCAATATGCGAGATTCTCTTAAGAGTTTTGATACTTGTACAAGAATTCAAAAATATATGATATTAGTAAATTAAAATTGGTGTATGCACAAAAGTTGTAAGACCAAGGAAAGCACTATCATGAGACTACATACAGAGTGCGGTATATACTTTTCAAAACTCAAGAAATAATATCAACTGAAGAAACATGTTACTAAAACTTTCAAAATGTAACATATGAAAGTATTCCAATGATACAATGAAATCTAATATTTGGTTAATTAGACTAACATAACTTTTATCTGTACGTTATGCACTCCTTCGTATTGTTTTGCTAACATACTTTCTACATATTTTTTTATTATATTAATTTAGAATCTTTTAATACGAGGTCTTCTCTCATCAATTAGTATAATGCCATTAACCGAAAACATATATCGTGAGATCCTACCTTGAGAATACATAATAAGTTCATCCATTACTTATGCAAAGAGATATAAAATTGTCAGAGAATTAAAAATATGGCGATTACCGCTATTCTGGAGTTTGATATAGAATTGGCTTTAGATATTATACTAGAGCTTCCAAGCATAGTTCTTAAGACAAATATTGCCACTTGGGTTATGAAGGTTTTTGTCTGTAATAGAAGAAAAAGGAAAAAAGATTGTATTTTTTTTGTTATTGTCATAATATCAATGTTTATATCCAGCGTTTATAATTCAGCTTGTATTTTTTTTGTGATTGTCATTATCTATTCGATAAATTTTATTAAAACCCTAATAATTTTCAGAATGCCTTTTTATGTTGTTTTTCTGTTTATATATAAATAATTAAAATATAATATATAGCTTAGTATTAATTAATTATATTTTCTAAACACTTATCTTTGGTGTTAATAATATTTGTAGGGTAACAAAATACAAGAAGTTATATACGGAAAGACTATCCAAAAGTTTATAGATATGTTTCGAAAGAATCAAATTATTTTCATTTCAAATAGAGAAGTGAAAGGAATAAACCCAGCTTTTCTAAGTATCCACAAGTCACTTGAATTAGTATTAACAAAAGACGTATCTATTAAAGAAGCACCAATAAGTTTCCACTTGGAGAACATATTGAATAACTTTGTCCCATTTGAAGAAGCATTTTCTATAAAAGATGCAACAAAAATTAATAAGTACTTATAAATTTCTTACTTTAATCTTCAATACAAAATGAGACGTTAATTTATAGAATCATAATTTTTTTATAAAATTACTTACATATTTTTGCAATAACAACTAACGTGAATTGAGCCCATTGACAATGAGAAAAGATAATAAAGCGATAACAAAGGAACCTTTGCCTTAAACTAATGAGTAAGGAAAACAAAGCGGGCGGCGGGAGCTGCTCGCCGCGCTAACAAAAAATTGTGCGCAAGAATTTATGGAGAGGGAATAGGCTGGCCTTTTTGTTATTCCCAAATCTATTGAAAATTAATGAAGAAAAAGGGTCGGTTATCCATGGTGCACGTTAGCAGGCGAATTTTTTCGTGCTAATGTGCTCCCCCGCCAAGTTTTTGATGGCAAGAAAAAAGAGAAACAACAACAAGAAGATCTTCAGCTTTGGATTAAAAGCATCAGATTTGAGCTTGCAATCATCAGAGGCTCAATCGGGTTCAAGTTTTGAAGAAGATGAAGATGGTTATGATTCTGGAATCATGGGATCAACAGGTCCAAGAGGTGAAAATTGAAGAAATCTATGGAGGAGATACTCAAGTCTGCAAGATCTCTTGAGGTTACTGAGTCTCAAGCAAAATCACAGCAGATAGGTATCCGATCTCATCAGTTGATTTCAAGAAGTGAAAATTCTCAACAGATGAGTTCACAGATGAGATCAAGAAATGAAAAGCTGGAATCAAGAGGTGAAAAGATGCCGGAATCCATTGAGATGCTTAGTTCTGCAAATTCTCCTGTGATGCAAATGAATTCACAGCTGAGATCAAGAAATGAAAAGCTAAAGGAATCTATTGATGATCCCAGGCCTGCAAATACTCTGGAGGTTCCTAGTTTTCTGACAACTCCTCTTTCGATCAGATCTCATCAGTCTAGTAAGTCTCTGATCTCTAATTCTAATGGAGGTAGCAGCTCTAATAGTTTTGCTTGGGCTGATGATGAAATCTTGGAGGTTGAAGATCATCTTATGTCTTCAGGTTTAGCTAACAAGAAAAGTTCAGAGCAATTAATTTCTAATCCAATTGTTAATTCTTCTTTGACTAAAATTGATGGAAATAAATCCCTAAGGAATTCTGTTGAAGGCAAATCCATGATTGATAGTGATTTCCCCCCTTTAAATCCTTCAAAATCTGGATTTCCGCCTCTAAATCCGGATCAAAATGAAAAGAAAAGCTGGACTAGTCTCTTTGCTGACAATAGAAAGGCTGGTAATGGTATGATATTGGATTTTGTTCCACCAACTTCTAAAGAAACAGTTATTTTTGAGGAAGAAGAGTGGAATGAAGGAATCCATATATGGGATTTTTCTCTTATTGGCCAAGTCCTGGGAATCAGTGTCAAATTCAAAGCTATGGAGAGTTTTGTTAAGAAAGTATGGACTCCTGTAGCTAATCCTGAAATCTTGCTTCTAAAATCTGGCTTGTTCTTGTTTAAATTCAATAGCAAAGAGGAAATGGAAGAAATCATGGACAATGGTCCTTGGTTCTTTGGATCAAGACCTCTCCTACTTAAGCAATGGTCTAATGAGGAAGATGTTGAAAAGAGTTTTGAAAACAAATATCCTGTATGGATCCAATTGCCAGGTTTGAGACTAAATCTGTGGAATGCTAAAAGTCTTAGTAAAATTTCTAGTGTTATTGGCAAGCCAATCACAACAGATAAATTGACAGCTAATAGGAAAAGATTAGCCTATGCAAGGATCCTTGTTGAAATAAATATGCCTTCATCTCTCCCAGACCATATTCTTATACAGGGGCCAAATGGAACATTGATTAAGCAATTGGTATACTATGAGCTAAAGCCTAAATGGTGTGAAATATACAAGCAGATTGGGCATGATACAAAGAATTGCAAGAGGCAAATTAATACACAAAGATGGGTTCCAAAAAAGGCTCCTGCAGTAAATGTTTCTGCTCAGAATGTTACTGTCAGTACCCAAAAACCTGTTCTACAAAATCAACAGAAGCCTGATCAAGATGAAACAGTCAAGGTCGTAGTGAATACCTTAGATGGAGAAAACTCTGTGCAAAATGTTCATATTAATCAAAAGGATATGTATGATACACTGAACATAGAAAAATTTTCAGCTGGAAAGGACATTGTGCATGTTGTGCACGTTTTACAGTCTGATTCTGGAGTTAATGCACATACTGGAAATCCTTGGCTGAAAAAAGCAAATGGGAAAAGGAACTCATTCTCCCCTTTGGCTGGAATGATGTATGATCTTGATCCCTCTACAATGGATAGGGGGGGACAATCTATATGAATTTATCCTTTTGGAATATTAGGGGATTAAACAAGTCCCCTAAACAACATCTGGTCAGGCAACATATTGTACAGAATCACCTCTCTTTCATTGCATTACTTGAAACAAAAATCAATAAGGTAAATTTACCAGCTATCACAAAAAAAATTGCCATCAATTGGAAATGGATATCTAATGTGACAGACACAGACAAGGCCAGAATTCTGATATTATGGGATCCTGATATATGGAATATCCAAGTTGACTTTACTTCTTCTCAGCATATTACTTGTTCTGTCAATTCTATAGATGGAAGGATAAACTGCATTATCTCTTCAATCTATGGCCTCAACCATCAGGAATCTAGGAAAATCCTATGGACAGATCTCCTTCAAATGCATCAAAAAGCTGGAAACACCCCATGGCTTCTTTGTGGGGACTTCAACACAATGATCAATGCTGATGAAAAAATAGGAGGAATAGCTCTTACTGATGCAGATACTCATGATTTCAATTCTTTCATTGATAATAGTAATCTCCTGCACCTAAAAACTCTGGGCTGTTTCTTTACCTGGAGCAACAAACAAGATCAAAACTCTAGAATCTGGTGCAGACTTGACAGGGCACTTGTAAATGAATCATGGATTGACAAATATAACTCTAGTCATGTGGAATATCTTCTGCCAACCTCCTCAGATCACTCCCCAGCTTTGATCAAAATTTATGAAGAGGAAAAGCAAGGGAAAAAACCTTTTAAGTTCTTTAATATGTGGACTAAGCACAGCAGCTATCTACACACAGTTAACTCTATATGGCAACTGAAGGTAAAAGGCTACACTATGTTTTCAGTTGTTACAAAGCTCAAGCTTTTGAGAGGTGCTCTAAAGGATTTGAACAGAAAACATTTTGGCAACATCAGTGAAAAAGTCCAAAGAGCAAAGTATACACTTGAAGATGTTCAAAAAAAGCTGCAGGAGGATCCCTTCAATCAAATGTTCATTAGTCAAGAAAAGAATTGTCTATCTGAATATAATAAGCTATTAAATTGTGAGCTATCCTTCTATCAGCAAAAAGCAAGGATCCATTGGAGCATAAAGGGGGATAGATGTACAAGTTATTTTCACTCCATCATTAAAAGCAATAGACATCTGAACAGAGTATCTGTACTAAATAATAGCATGGGAGAAAGACTTACTGAGGGAGGGCAAATCATTAATGAGTTCATTTCTTATTATAGGAATCTGATGGGTACTTCAGTTCCTTCATCCTCTCCAGACATTAGAATTATTTAGAATGGGCCCTGTCTAACTGAAAATCATGTCAAAAATCTGTCAGCTCCAGTCACTAAAGAAGAAATAAAAAAAGTAGTATTTTCCATGGCTGATAACAAGTCCCCTGGTCCAGATGGTTATGGTGCATCTTTCTTCAAGTCTGCATGGTCAATTATAGGTGATGAAGTTACTCTTGCTATTGAAGAATTCTTCAGTTCAGGTAAATTGCTTGGGACTATAAATTCTACTGCTATCACTCTTATCCCAAAGAAGCAATGTCCAAGCACACCCTCTGACTTCAGACCAATATCCTGCTGCAACTTTCTATACAAAATCATATCTAAAATCCTAGCTAACAAGATTCAAGCAGTCATGGGGCATCTTATAAGTGAAGCCCAAAGTGCTTTCATTAAGGGTAGGTATATTACAAATAATATCTTACTAGCTCATGATCTGGTAAAACAATATAGCAGGAAGCATATCTCCCCAAGAACTATGATCAACATTGATATTAGAAAGGCATTTGATACAATAAGTTGGGATTTCATAAAAGAAATGCTTCAGGGTCTGGGGTTTCCAGAAATGCTGACAAACAGGATTATGACATGCATATCATCTACTAAATTCTCTATCTCTCTCAATGGTTCCCTTCATGGCTACTTTAAAGGTGCAAGAGGCTTACGACAAGGAGACCCTCTATCCCCATATTTGTTTATTTTGGGTATGGAATATCTCACAAGAAGTCTTGATCTCCTGAAGCTAGATTCTGATTTCAAATTTCATCCAAAGTGCAAGAGGCTAAATATTTCTCACCTAATTTTCGCTGATGATCTGCTATTATTCTGCAAAGGGGATCTCACTTCTGTCCAAAAACTTCATCAGTGTGTCAGCAAATTTAGTCAAGTCTCGGGGTTGGAGGCTAACCCTAGCAAGAGTGCTATCTTCTATGGTGGTGTGAATGAGTCTGTGAAGAAAGACATTCAAGATTATTTGGGGTTCACTGAAGGGAAACTGCCAATAAAATACTTAGGTGTTCCCCTAGTGTGTAAGAGGCTAAACTACATGGATTGCAATCCTCTTCTCAGCAAAATTTCAAGCCAATTCCAAAATTGCTTGAAAATTAGAAATCTATCCTATGCGGGTAGATTACAGGTGATAAAGAGTGTGATACTTGGTATGCAAATATACTGGACCTCTAGCTACATTTTACCAGTTAAAGTTCTTCACAAAATAGATGAGCTTAGCAGAAAATTCCTTTGGGGGAAAAATGATCATTCATCCAAAACTTCTCTGGTTTCATGGAACACAGTTTGTACAAGTAAAATGTATGGAGGATTGAGAATTTTCTCTTCTATTATCTGGAATATGGCAGCAGCACTAAAGATTATATGGGATATTCACACAAATAAAGAGCTCCTATGGATTAAATGGATTCATGGAAATTATCTAAAATCCAGGAATATATGGCAAGTGGGAATGAAAGTTGGTGATTCCTGGACATGGAAACAACTGTTAAAAACCAGAGATAAGGCTATAGCCTCCTGTGGTGGTTTGGATAATCTTAAGAACATTATCAGGTCCTGTCATAGCTGCTCAAAAATCAAAATTTCTGACCTGTACCATGCTCTTTCCCCTGCTGCAAACACTGCATATAAAGTTCCATGGAGTATCACCATATGGGGAGGTTTTAATGACCCAAAACATTCTTTCATCTCATGGTTGGCTGCTCAAGATAGGCTCCTAACCAAGGACAAATTGCTGAGGAGAGGTATAATACAAACTAATCAGTGCTGTTTATATTCAGGATCCGAACCTGAAAGTAGAAGCCACCTGTTTTTTGATTGCTCCTATTCCAAGGATGTATGGAATGGAATCATGGATTGGCTCAACTTTAGGTGGAGAAGTTGTGATTGGAACCATCTACTGAATTGGTTCAACTCAAATTTGCGAAGTAAAGGATTCAAGCATAAAGTAAAAAGATTGGCTCTTACCTCCTCAATATACAACATTTGGATTGAACGAAATTGCAGAACCTTCAATCAGAGAGGTAGGGAAGCTGAGCCTCTTCTCAAAAGGATCAAAATTGATGTGATGACCATAGTTCTAAACAGTGAGGTTGCTGCTGAAGACAGAGAATGGTTATTATCAATGAAATAGGGTTTATGGATCTCGGCCACCAAGTTTTAGACTGATATTCATGTACAGTGTACAGGCCTTGTATTCTTTTTGTAGTTAACTCAAAATCTGAGTTTTATTTTGCTGTACCAGAATTTCCAAATGGTTATATGAATAAATTCAGTTTCATTGACCAAAAAAAAAAAAACTAACGTGAAGCCGGTGATCAACTATATTACAAAACATAACAAACTAGGCAATAGGAGGGAAATCACGCTAATGGATAAAAGATATATTCAAGATACTTATTTCTAATATTATAAGAAAAAAATAAGATTAACATACTTTCTTTTTTCATATGCAGCGGTATGACTATGTGCGCAATTTTATTTGGGGATTTGGGTACAAATGAAGGATCAATTCTTAAAGCCGAAATCAAAGATAAGACTGTAGACATCAAAAAATGCTTACAGACATTCAAACACCACTCAAGACGATATAGAAGAACAATATAACGTCATCAAGGCGCAACATATGGCGGCGGGCAACGACATGGGCCGAGGCTGGCGCGGCCAGGACAGTGCGCGGGTTAGGCGCTGCAGACAAGGTGCGCGGTAGGCCGGCAGCCTGTATGGTGTCGCGGGCTTATACCGCTGCAACTATGGTGGGCCGTGGCAGTTGAAAGCGGATGCTAGCAGCAAGTTATAATACAGTTATCTGATGATGTATTAAAGTCCGACTGCGGCTCGTATTCAGAAATAGAACGTGTGCTGTACGTGGAAAAGCAGTTAAAGCCACGGGAAAAAGGTGGTTAGAAGTGCGTGGGACGAAATGTTCTCAAACGTATGAACGTGGGGTGTAACTGCCCCTTTAGCCGCCGGCGTGTCGAACTGCCGCGCCCTTGATAGCCGCGCAGTGTGACTGCCGGCTCTTTGGCCGTGAACAGTGTCGATGTCGGCGCCCTTTAGCCGCGACTCATCAGCTGCCGGTAAAGAGAATAGTTGTGGATCGGTTATTTCTTCAGTTATCGTTAAGGAAGGGTTATAAATACCCCCTATGGTATCATGGACGGGGCGGATGCATTTTCCAGAGAGATTGAGCAGAGAGGGCTTGAGTTTTGGTTAATTAGAGCAAGAAATGAGAGTCTTCTTTCTTCACAAACATACCTCAAGAAGCTTTAGCTGAGTCTAGAGAAGTAAGCTCAGATTGATCTTTGGAAGAGTGAAACGTTATCATCGATAAGATATTCGGATTCAAATCTTACGTCGATAAACGAAGGAAAGAATATTAAAACCTGCACGCGTTCAATCAAGATCTGTGCTTTCGGTGGTCACCAAGCGCTCCCGGCCAGGCAAAGATCCCACGAAGCAGCGATCCACAAGAACGAATGCCTGCGTTGTTTTCAGAGTTGTAATTTTCCTTTTGTTGTGTAAGAGAGTCTTAATAAAAATGGCTATTTCTTTTGAATGTTTATAATCGACGCGAAGATAAAGAATTGATGAAAAACAAGCTTTGACGCAAACAAACTCGGCGACACAGTGGGAGCCAACGTCTCGCTGCCGGAGTCGTGTCGCAGCCGATTCAGATTCCAGTTGATCCATGGTCGATAAAGTTCGCGGCAGACAAGTTTGAGGAATATCCTCATCATCCTCTTCAGATCCTTCATTATCTCGCAAGTAGAAGAGTGATCTACATGAGAAGAGTTGCATGCAAGAGCGCAAAATATGAAGACTCTCGCTGTATGATTGCTGAGATTTCACGCACACCTCTGCTCAATGGATCTTATATAATTGAAGAGTCATCGATAAAGCCGCGACGAACATTGAGAAAATAGCTCGTCAAGAGACGCCGTCAGGTTTGCCGTCAATAGCTAAGGCATTGAACACACGACGAGTTCGTTTTTAATGGCGGCATTAGAGTCGAGGAAACAACGAAGTGGTTCGTTAACCAAAGGAACTACTCACGTTTGGCACAATTCACAACGAGGAATGGAACTCATCAAAGGGCTGTTCGACCTCAAGAAGTATTACAAAAACGTCGTCGCAAACGTTGTTCATGCCGTGCTCTCTTACAGACAAAGAACGAGAAAGGAGGAAGGAAACGGTGGACCAAAGATCACCAAATCCGCAAGTTTGGATTCTGAGTCTGGACTTATGCAAAATTTTCAGCATCGGAGCCTCGTAAGACCCATCACAAGGGGGTGGTTCGTAAACGTGGCGACTTCCCGACATAATTGGATCGTTTAAAGACAAAAATAAATTGTCCTGAGAATGCCACGGTGCTTATACTCCCAGACAGAAAGCATTCACCAAATGAGATCGTCATACATGGGAGATCATACCAACAGAGTCGATTAACGATTTTGGGCAATCACCATGAATCGGTATCAAATTGAGGTTGTGGTAATTTCGAAAAGGATTATTCGAGAGATAAACTCTCGTTGTTCTGTGCACTGACGTCAGTCAAAAACGGATTATCATGAATGTGACTGGTGTTCAAACGAGAATCTCCCACGAAAAGTATCTGCATTATCAAAGCTAAGCTGAGACATTTCGCAAAAGAAAATAGCTGCCCAAAATGATGAAGTTCCGCTGAAGTCACCAATTCAGACGTAAGCTTGATAGAAGAAAGTCTAAACAGGCATTCAAAGTGACTTCAACTCCCGATTTTCCCGAAGGAAGTCAATCCAAGAATTGCTCAAAGATGTCTCGACTCCAATTAGGAGTATCAGATTCGCAGAGACTACAAAGAATGGCAGAAGGAATTCTCGAGGATAAGTTCTCGATCACTTATTCGGCAATCGTTCTGTCGATACAGATGTCAGCACAGGACAAATCGGAAGTTTCACAATCACTGGCTGGATCAGTTCACGTCAAAATACTTGACAGGAAGCTCTAGCACAACAA